CAATTTGCACATAATCTCTACTGGAGATATTACAATGAGAAACACTTTTTACTATGTATGAGTATTTATTAATTATATTGTTTATATGTGATCTATTTGATATTTAGCACTATATCATTCACTTATTAAAATCTAAAATTTTAAGTTGTCAAAAAGAACAGGAATAGAAGGAAAATCTTCCAATGGGGGCATTTGTTCTTGTGACAACTGTCTAAGAGGATTTACCTCACGCTGGAAAGATAGTGAAGAGAATTTATCAAAACTGGAGCAGCTGTGGACAGCAACCAATCAGCTTCTCTCTTCAGTTAAGATTTGAAAATAAAGGTGCCCACACACCATGCGATAATCGTGGGAAATCCCGCGATCGTACGATTATCACAAGGTGTGTGGAAGGCGTACGACCTCTGCTACTGTTAGGCCCCGTTCACATATAGCGAATTGTCGCCGCGATATCGCGCATTTTTGCCGCGCGATATCGCGAGAAGTCGCCGGCCAATGTTATTCAATGGAGCTGTCTTAACTCCATGTCGCGCGTCGCTTCTACCGGACCCTTTTTTCGGCGGATTTTGCGCGATTTTACTTTTTTTCTATGGAGCCCGACGGGGAAGGTCGCGCTACCGTCGCTGGATCGTCGCTGGAACGTCGCCCCGAAAGTCGCGCTATCCCGGCCGTGCGGATCCGCTGCAAAAGGTATGTCGCTATATGTGAACGGGGCCTAAGGTCGCACGACTTATATCTTAGGAAAATGTTCGAAAACCAGCCGAACATCGTACGATACGAACCATGGCGGTGGAGAAGTATAGTTAGCAATGCAGAAAACCCCATTGAATAAGAAAAAGAAATAAAAACAAGCATTAATGAGGAAACAGTAACGTCATATGAATGCCTGCAAACTGACTATGAAGCTTGCTCTGAAAAGATATTCACCACAGATTGGTGACAGGCTTTGGATGTCACTGGAACACGTGTCCTCCATTGGAGAAGTGCCCCTCCATTCCTGTTCCACTGATAAAACTACATGTGGAATTTTCTCTCACTTTCTGGTGACAATGTTCACGACTGCAGCTTGCTGAATCATGACTCATGACTTCCTCCTGCTACCTTCGTTAAACAGTACCAACGTCTATCACCACAACCACTAAACAGCGTTATATATCGATAAATACACATACAATGCTTGCAAATCTACTATTGAATGTTTCTAGCCTTCTCTCTTTCAATTAGTAGACCGAAACTTCAATTACGTAAATATACAAATACTACAACTCCCATGATGCTTTGCTCTAGGCGTAGCTTTAACTACGCCACTGCTTGCTCTTCTCGGCAACCTAACTTGACAGCTGATACGGCCACCCTCTGCTATTGGATCCAGCAGCGATCGCTCTGCCAGTCCATGCCTGTCATTGGCCCATAACTTCTTTCCTCTCCTTGCTCGCGTTGCCAGGGAGCAGTGGTATGAAGTTAGTAAGGCCAGCTGTATTCTAGAACCTACAGATACGCATTCAGCGTGGCGTAGGCCTTCCATTAGCTGCTACGTTTGCGGCAATTGCGTAGTGGGAGAGTGCCCGTTCTGAGAGACAGCCAGGGAGGTAAACACGGGTTACTGGACTGTCAGGGGGCCTGGCCGTTTGGGAAGGGGGTAAACGACATAAAACCATTGCGCTGACCATGAATGTAACTATGTCCTATATACGTAATTGTTTAGGTAGCGTTTGTATGGTGCAGAGCCTGGGGTCTTTGTAGCACACAAGAGTGCTTGTAGTCCCTGTAGCTGATGAGTGGGATCTTCTGAAGGTACTAAGCACATACATTGCGCACATATACTGTGTTGGTATGTAGTGATGCCTGTGTTAATGTATATGTATTTTATGCTACGATCACTAGTAGTTTGGTAATCTACAGCAGGTAGTTAGAAGTTCATTTGCAACTGACAGGCTTCCTCATTCCTCTGCATTAGTAGACTGGATTCCAAATAAAACTCATTAATACATCAGTTTTGTTATTCTGTTTTAGCATGTCTACTATTCTTTAATAAGTATGTCTCTGACATTGACGGATCTATAAAACGTGGAGTTGCCTGTAGCAACCACTCAGTTATAAGCGTTCAGTTGCAAGGTGGTATCTACGGACAACGGCTTGTTATGTTTAGCACAAATCAGAGCTCACTATATTTTTAGTGTCCTTCTGAGTCGTGACATTTCAGTTAATAAATATTGAATATTGATTTATATTTTACCTAATGATGTTTTCATCCCATAGGTGTCTGGGGATCAAGAGGCATGGCAGTAGTACAGTTTCAGACAGTGGCCCTGTGAGCTCCATGTCCTAGGTCCAACATGGAAGGAATCAACATTGCTCAGGATATCATCCAGAGGCAGATCAGGGTATGAAAGACAATATTAAACAATTCAGTCATAAAGGAAATATACTGATGAATAGTGATATATGGGGGATTGGTGCAAACCCAATTCGCCAGAGTTTGCTCGAACCTGTGCATAACTCTGACTGACACATCCCCTCCTGGCCCAATCAGTTGCGGCAGCTACACGTCACAAAGGGGCAGGGAATGGCCCTGCCGCAACAGATTGCGCCAGGATTGGGTGTGGCAATCACAGAACTGGGTTTTCACAAAGCCCTTGCATATCACTGCTGATGAATGATGTATGATGTCACTGCTGATGATGATAAGGATGTGTGATATTTATACTCAGTCACACCTTTGCTTTTAACAAATGTACACAGACTAGCCATTGTTGTAAATTAGGGAAGTAGCGATATTTTTTTCCCGATACTCGCTGATACCGGAAGTCCCATTAGGGAAGCCAGGCGGTGTGTAATGACTCGCCACCTGGCTTCCTGATTAGCTGGGAAGCCGGGCGGCATGTAAAGATTCACCACCCGGCTTCCCGATTTAACAGGGAAGTCGTTTCCATGCTCCCTCGTCACCAGGTGAGGGGTCAGCATGGAACCGGCTTTCTGGCCAAGCAGGAAACCGGGCGCCGTGTAATGACGGGTTGCCCGGCTTCCTGATTGGTCGGGAAGCTGGCTCCATGCTACCTTGTCACCAGGTTACCAGGGAGCATGGAGCCGGCTTCCTGATATCGGAAGCTAAAGTATTGGGCCAGGCATCGGAGCATTTGGATGAGTTCTTGCTATCGGTGCATTCCTATTGTAAATAGTGCTAGTTCACATCTGCACAATGCGTTGACACTAGAAATGAGCCTGGGCTTTGTGCAAACCCAGTTTCGCCTAAGCTCGCTCAAAATTATGACCGCACTCCCTCCTCCTGGCCCGAGCAGTGGTGGCATTTGCGTCAGGGGCATTACCTGCCCCTGTGTGATGTATAGCAGTGGGGCAGTGAATGCACCTCTCTGCAACTGATTGGCTCAGGAGGAGGGGGTGGCAGTCACAGTTTTGAGTAGGCTTGGGCAACCTCAGGTCAACCTGGGTTCGTGGCAAGCCCATGCTCATCACTAGTTGACACGCATTATAAAGCCTGTCAATGACAATGGCAGAACATGAAAAATGCATGATTGTTGGTTTGAAATGCTTACAGAAAGCTGTGAATCACGTTCTAAGGACTATCTACACAAGCATTTACCTTTCAAGGGTTAGTTAACATTTTCGCAAAAAAGGAAAAGATGAACTATCTCACGACACCCTTTTTACCCCCTCTCCTCCCCGGTCCCAGCCCCGCTTACTGTATCTGTAATGATGATCCTTACCTTTGCCCAAGCCAGCCAGTATAACAGTGCGGGAACTTAACCACGGAGGCTGTATAGCAACATAATAGTTACAATGGGGAGTCAAGTGATCACACTGACCAATGAGAATCTCTTCTTTCCTCCTGGAACACCATCCCAGACTGGAAGAAAGACAGAGAAAAAGAAGGAAGGACAAACATAATCATTGGTCATTGGATACGCCAACCAATCACCGCTCCCCATTGCAACTATTGTGTTGCTATACAGTCATTCTGTATTTACCTCTGCTGATAGTTTTGTGGAGAAATTCACAAATGTGCATTAAATTACATTGGGATCCTTATACACTGAGTGGCCAGATTATTATGACCACCCCATCAGTACTTCGTTGGGCCACGAGATGACTTTGTTGGGCCACCTCGAGATGTTGAAAGGTGATGCGAGGAATCTGACACTGCACTGTTGCCCTTCTGTTGTCTTGTACCAGTCTTGCCACTCTCCGTTCTGCCCTAACATTGACTAGTCGCTGAAGGCCACAATTCGCACGTTCAGACCCAGATTTTCGGCTGACAGTCCAGTCTTTAAACACTTTAACAATGAGCCCCTCTTGAACATTTAACGAATTCTGCTGTTTTGCTGATACTCGCTCCATGGCTCAGAGCGCCAACAATCATCCCACGTTCAAAGGCTGTTAAATCGGGTTGTTTTTCAGAAAAAAATCACTTCTACTGTCGTGGTAAACAACCTGCTTCCCTATTTATAACGGTCTGGCCCTCTAGCAACTTCAGCGTGAAATTATAGCTAATTTGCCTACAAACGTCAGGTGGTCATAATAATCTGGCCACTCAGTGTATACAAGGGATTTTTTTAAGGTCCTGAAAGATCTAGAGCACCTAGAATGAAATGTAGGGCTTGTAGTACACCATGATGGAACGATGAGTGAGATTATCTGTGTAGGTTCTCATTTCTCCAAGTGATGGAGGCTGAACTCTAAAGCATTTTGAGAATGTTCACACAATAAATTGTGTGACGATTCAGTTGAATTATCCAGTCATGTTAAAAGCAAATCCCTCTTTCCTCTTTAATCTCCACATGATTAGATAATTGAAGTGAATATTTACACAGTTTCTTGTGTGAACATACTAGCCTAAAGGTATAAATAGTAGTAGTTAATCACATTCATCTGAATTTGTGCTTTAATATTGAAGACATTTTGGCCCTCATCCTTGTAGCTTCCTTCGCTCTATTTGTTTTGAGATGTGAAGGCTACCTGTGTAAATGAAGAAACATCTCAAGCTGGGGAGAAGGTTTCTTTTCCCCATTTCATCTCCTCTCTCTGATACTTGGAAATGCATTTTGCTTATAGGGAAATAAATCTTCTTTCAATCAGATCTGTTATTTCATAAATACGATGCTTTGATAACTCAGATTAAAAATCATATTATTATTGTTGTTATGTAAATAGACTATATAATCTTATTGTTAATCAATTGGCATTAATCTGTTTGGTGAAAATTAAATCTGGAGTGTGAATTACAGGTAAGCATAGAACACAAGTAGTTAGTTAAAAATGCCAGATTCTCCAGTTCAATAAATAACCTACCTTTTTTATTTGCTATCACTTAATGCAAAATCACAGGATGTCCAGGAAGGGAGCCTGGTCACATGGCCTGTCAAGGTCACATGACCGGCTCTTCTCCAATTACAGAACTCTCACTATTGTGTTAATTAAAGTTGAACTACACCCTCCTATCCTTCACAGTGAAGGAAGGTGCCATCTTAGCCTTTATCTGAATTGCAGTTGCCATGGTGTCGCACATGATCAGCTATGACACCAGCCATTTAAGAACATAAAGTTAATGGCAACCTTGACAGGTATTACCACAGGCATGCCTTGAAAGTAACTGTTTTGGGAGAGTAAATTTCCACTTTATTGAGAACTCCATGCGGCATCACAGGCTTCACACTGTGGCCTGCATTTTATGAATGGGCTCTGGTGTGTGCAACCTGAGAGTTTTAACCTGCTCATTTAACCAAGACAACACATTCGTTATAAGCCCCTAGCTCCAACAGGAGACAGATTAGCCTCCATGGCGTCCATATATCCTGACGCAGGGCTTACAGTAAAAAAAAGAGAATAACAGATTCTATACCTAAGAGGTAAGACTGAAAAATTCTGAATTCTTTAGAGATGATATTTAGATTCTTACAAATGTCTGAATCGTTCTTTTTAGAGATGCGCCGATACCGGTATGAGTACCGATATTTTGCTTTCGGTACTCGCAGATACAGAGCACCGATACCAGTGCTTCCGCTGGCATGGAGCCAGTTTCCCGGGCAATGAGGAAGCTGGGTGGCGGGTAATGACATGCTGCCCAGCTTCCTGGTTGCCCTGGAAGCTGGCTCCATGTTGTCTGGCCGGCTCGATTGTGATTGGCCGGGAAAGTCAACCAGCATCGAGTTGGCTCCCCGGCCAATCAGGAAGCTGGGTGGCAAGTTATGACCCGGCTTCCTGATTGGCCGTGAAGCCAGCTCCATGCTGATTGGCTAGAAAGCCGGTTTCCCACCCAGTCAGCAAGGAGCCAGCTGTTCGGCCGGCTTGATGCTGATTGGCTGGGAAGCTGTCTTTCCAGCCAATCAGCAAGGAGCCGACTGTTCACCCGGCTCGATGCTGATTGGCCGAGAAGCCAGCTTCCCAGCCAGTCAGCATGGAACCGGCTGTTCCATCATTACTCGCCGCCCGGCTTTCTGATTGCCCGGGAAGCCGGCTCCATGCTCCCCTACAGCACTGCCGCTCAGAGGAATTCTTCCTCTGACCGGACATTCCGGTATCAGGAAAAGTATCGGAGCATTTGGGCGAGTATGAATACTATATCGGTGCATCCCTAGTTCTTTTCAATAATAAAGTAAACTCCCAGTTATCCAGCACCCACAGGGATCGGTAGGTCCAGGATAACTGTAGTTTATGGTTGCTTGAAAGTTAATAGTAACTCTCAAGCACTCTCTCAGGTCAGCTCCTCTGCTCAGTGGGCGGGTGCAATAGCCAGCCTGCTATTGCAATTTAAAATAGCCATTCTGGTGCCGACCTTGCAATCTAGCCGCTGGCCGGAAGCAAGATATAAACAGAGAATTTAGTTAGCAACTACATAAATTTATTTGCTAACAACATTTTTTTTAGTGTGCACCAAGCAACGGGGAATTTTTTAGTGTGCAATCACGCCACTGGCAATTTTTATTTTTTTTTGCTGGTTGCTTGAGAGTGTCAGTTGCTTGAATGCTGGATAATGAGGAGTTTACTGTATACATTACTTCAAGTGACCATCTTAAAGGAATGTTTCAGTCTTTACTTGTTTTGAATATACAGTATGTATGTACATAGAAGCAGACGTATTTGCTGTTTATATGTGCAGCCTCTGCTTTTTGCCGTTTTTTAATTTACTTTCCTGCTCCTATCTGTCAGTATAAGACTATGGGTCTTAAAATGCCTGAAATTAACAAACTCTATAAGGTTAAATGGGCTTTTTTTTAAGGTCATTGATGATTGCTATAGACAGATCCTAGAAATAATAGGCTTAACAAACCTGTACATCCTCAAATGGGTTGCATGTCTGCCAGCACACTTAGTGCGCTGCACGCGGTGTAAAGTATTTTGATCAGGCCTGAGTCTGATTCATTTATGAAATCTACAGGTGAAACTCGAATAATTAGAATATCGTGCAAAAGTAATTGCAGTAAGTGCTGCAAAAGGGGCCCAAACCAAGTACTGAGTACATATCCATGCTTGTACTTTTCAGAGGTCCGATATTGTTCTATGTACAATCCTTGTTTTATTGATTGCATGTAATAATCTACTTTTTTGAGGTTGTGGATTTGGGGTTCTTGGGGTTTTCATGAGCTGTAAGCCATAATCATCACAATTATGACAAATCACGGCTTGAATTATCTTGCTTTGCATGTAATGAGTCTATCTCATATATTAGTTTCACCTTTTAAGTTGCATTAGTGAAATAAATGAACTTTGCATGATATTCTAATTATTCGAGTTTCACCTGTATTTGAACGGTTACTAAAACCTCTGATTGCCTGAGGTATTCGCTGTTGTCCTCCACGAAACAGACAGATCATTGCAGGTCATCTTGATGGTGACCACTGTATGTAGTCCCCAGCTGTCTCATTAAAAAGCTCCCTGTTCTGTTTTGTACATTGGAGTGGCAGGGCATGGGGGATGCGATGATTTTTTAGAACCATCAGATCATTTCCTGTGCCGCTCAGAGAACTACAAACTGTCACATGGGGCAATATGTGAAATATTAGAGGAAAGCTGAAAGACAAAATATCTATGTTCAAACTCTAAAAGGCTGACCATAGGCTTCTAAAGTGTAGTAGGACATGCATGCACTATCCAATGGGCCTCAGGCAGCAGGACTCTGAGCAGGAACATTCTGTCAAAAGAATGTTCATGAGAATTTGGGGGAGCAGATGAGTCGCACTGGCATAAACTGCCAGCACTGCCTGTCTCCAGGGGACAAATTGCAGTTTCTGCAGACTTTGTTAGTGCAAAAAAAGAAAAACTGCAGTTCATTTCTGCAATACGTCAACATGTACCCATATTTGATCTCTTTAAAGACTAGGCAAGTACAGAAATATATCTGTTGATCTGCGAGAAATGTAGTCGGCATCTAAATCCTGTTATGGGCTGACAACACACAGCATTTTTATGGACTGAGTAGTGTCGGCCATGCCCATTTTTCTTTTTCTAAACGTCTGAGACCCACCTATCCAATTCTGCACAACAACAAAAAAAAAATATTCTTTAGTCCCAAGATAATGAGGTCTAATTACCCAATCAGTTGTGGCTGGGGCATTCCCTGCCCCACAGATCATATACACATTCAATAGTGTTGGGGAATGCCCTGGCCCCAACAGTTTTGCCCGGGGTGGGGCAAACTGGGTTCACTTCAAGCCCACTGACATCACTAATTGATAGGGTTTACATACATTTTAAGCTAATCAATAAATTTTTCTGTCAGACTGTGGCCAGCTGTTGGAGCCAGGGGTTCTTAGAAGTGTGTGATCATAACCAGATTGACTTGTCATCGCATGTCTGAGGGTACAAAAAAAGCGAACCTTTAAGCCATTTTAAGGTTTGAAATTTAAAAGCCCTGTCTGACTTTTTTGCATCCTGTCCTGTAAGAGTGCATTTAATGGGTGCTTAAGTTTTCTCATTGGGAAGAGCTTAGCCATGCAGTGAGGGAAGTAAATTCCTTAATAATGAATGAATTAAACTAAATCATAATTGCATGTATTGGGTTTTATTATCTTGCATTGCCTGATCTTAGGTTACAACTTTGGTGTACATGATTAAAATTGCTAACAGGTTCACTTTATATCTAGTAGGGTAACATGAACAACAGTGGACTTAGCATCCTGTTTTAATGTATTTACAATAGGATGAGAATACCACCTCTCTGCATTTCACATAGAATACACTGTTCATACAGGATACCAATAGACAATTGTCTTCTAGTAATTGTGACTTGATGGGATTGTACTTTCTGTTTAAAGCTTACCCTGATGCAAGAATCCTTTGGTCACCACTGTTGGCATGGTGAAAATATTTTTGGCTGGAAGGTGCTTTGGGCATCAAGGTTTATAGTCAAAGAACAGAACTTCCCTCTCAAAAAAAAGATGTTTAGTTGGTGGCATAATTTGCTAATAACCACATGGTTTTTCTGGCATTTATATGATGTCTCTGGCCAGCTTTAGCACAAGAAAAAAAACGTTTAAATATCTGCTTTGTAGCTAATGGTCGGACATTCTCTGGAAGGTGGTGAAGCCACAGATGGCTTTTTGGTGTCCATAATTTTGTATGAGTATTTTGAATGAAAGCAAAATGCAAGAGGGGCATTTATTTTAGATGTGTTTTAAAGCTGCCCATGGCTGAATAGTAGCAATAGATGTGACCAATCCCCAGTGAGGGCTAAATAAGAAAAAAACTCAACACAAATCACATCTTGAATCAATATCAAGGCAGACACCTCATGGATTCAGAAGTTGATAGCAGCCCATAAGCAGATCAGCAGGGAAGGCCTAAAGTGACTTTCCTGTGACATTAAGACCAGTCATTAATTTTGTCACTAATGAAGATGATCCAGTCATTCCTGTTGATGATCAAGAGGTTCATGAAGAAGAGATAAAAATTCTGTGAGAACTGAATGTCTCTCGCATTGGTTACAGAGGTTTCCTTGCGCTTTCCTCTGCTTTGGATTAGTAAGGTATACCACAGTAGCTTTTATGGCAGAGTGATCACTGAATGGTTGGGCAGATGTTTCACTGAAATTGATGAAAGATTTGCTTGGCTTTTGTCAGTCTTATGCTTAAGGCAATTTTCTAGCAATCCAGCTAGTTTTTGATGGAAAATATTGATGGAAAATATGATAGGACAAATCAAAACCACCTACCAACAACCCTGCCATATTGGTAAAAATATAATAATTGTTGGTGAAAGGTGTCATAGAGCCATTTAATTATTTTTCCTACTAAAATTTCTTTGAAAATGCATTAAACATGTTATGTGTATGGTAATTTTCAGTGAAAAGGTGGGAAGTGAAAGATCAAGATTTCCATGCTTAGATGTGACTGCCTGGCCGCTGCGGGGGTCTTTTTTTTCCTTCTTACTTACCTCACCGAGCGTCGCGTCACTGCTGCTCCGGTGGGCGGCGCTCCGAGCGGGGTCATCTGGCAGGAAGCATGCATATTCCAACCGTGACATATTCCTTTTAAGCTTTATTGTCATGTTGTTTTTGTATTGTGATAAAATAGACAAATGCATACTAGTATTGTTTCTACCATAGGAAAGGAAAGCTAGAAGCTTTCAGAGATGTCATCATGTAACAGACCCTTTAATTCGTCGTCTGGGACTGGAGGCAGAACTACAGGTAAAACGTATTGCACATATGATTTTGTGAATGCTGCATGAGACTGGCAAAGAGACCCTTTTTTATTGTTATGTTTATTATCTTTTCTGTATTATGTTATAAATCTTTACCCACTGAATGATTTGTATTAGAAATACATTTCAGACAGTGCCAGTGATAAACCTTTAAAAAAAAAAAACTTATTTAGAGGGGTTAATGAAGAGGAGAGATAAGGATACCGCAGTGGAGAAGCATATCGAGGAACGCAAGCAGTAGATCTGACAGCTGGAAACCACAGGAATTGACACCAGCAAATTCTTAAAAATATACTGCTTATTTTGGGTCAAAGTATTGAAACACGATGGTCAATATGATATCATAGCATTTTCAGGGGAGGTCAGCAATATCAACCTCTAAGTTTCTCTCATAACTGGTTTGAGGAAAGTCTGATGGGATGAGATAACGATATTGGCTAATTCCAAGATCCATTGAAAAAAGGAAATTAGCATGGTGCCCATATATATATCAAAGCACCTCTAGTCAGAATGGGTACATTTACTTACACAGACGCCTGGAAACACTGACACTTTACAATAAATATTATGTAGTAAGGATTTTGGAAGCAAGAGACAGGAACAATTGATAAGCAAGTTGGTATTCAAAGAATAGCAAAGCTAAGACTGCAAATGAAGGTAGAGACAGGTTTGTTGTACAAATATTTTTATTGAAAAGGTACAGATGTAAATTACATCCCAAAAAAAAGGACATATAGGTTAGTATGGCAAAACATCATAACAGTTCTAAAGCGAAATAGTGACCCATTATAGGTCGCCAACAGGGTAGCAAGTAGAAAATAAAAAAAGAGATATAAGCATAAAATCTGTGAACAGTCAAATTATCTCAAGACCTGAAGAGGTGTCACCAGCGACCCGCTGCTGCTGCAGGACGCCATTGAGCCCATACAGGAAAAGAGGAAAGGGCTATAGACTACACTCCGTGTAGTCAGTCCATGTCATGGGCTTCAAGCTTTAGAGAAAACCACAAGAACCTGAGAAGAAGTATAGAAAGGAAAGGAAAAAAGTGAGAGAGAGAAACAAACAAAGGGAGAGACGGGCTGCAGAGGGAATCAAGGTAGAGACAGGTTTGAATGATACTTTATTCACAATGAAAAGAATAAGATCAGCCAAAGCGTTGCTGCGCTGTTCTCCATCTGCATTGTAATATATTATAGAAATTAAAGTGATGTCTAATGCAAAAAAAGTTAAAAGCTTTAAATCTGTTCACTGATGTTTCTATCACTTTGTGTAGGGTCATACTGGTTGTGTCAACTGCCTGGAATGGAACGAGAAGGGGGAGTAAGTATTTTCTCCACTCTTCTTTGTTTTATCTGTCTATCTCTTGTCTGTAGGACATTACATTTCCATTTCTAAACTGTATTACCTCATTCATCACAAATAAATCAGTTTCTCTATTTTAGATTGTGATATGAACATGTTTGGACTGTGATATAGGAATTTTCACTATATAGGCATTTTCACTATGCTTTAACTGTTTTTTTATGGGCACTGCATTTCTTCTGCAGTTTTTTCTCATGTGGGTGTTTAGGTGAAACATGTAAATACTACTTTACTCTAGGTTTTAATAATTACTGGTACTGACCACTTTCCTACCTAAAATACTGCAGAAAGCAGCATCTGTGGTACATTAACCAATCACTTAGATGTCATTTAGGATTGACAATCTTGTCTTCCATAGAGAACAAGTGCTTGTTTAGTGGACACTTTTACTCATAAGCACTCAGGTGCATGCATACACAAAATCAATGGCTTGTGAGTAAAGCCCATTAGTATCCATTCACACCTCTGCTCTTGTTTTAAGGCACATTGACCTGAACCTGAAGTGTATGGAGTTCTCATGCACATTAGGTGGATGCACATTGTGGATTTTTTAAACTCCTGTTTAGTACATCTTTGGTGGGGTTACCAGCAGATCTTCAACATGTATGAATGTTATCAATTACACCCTGAGTAAGCTTCGGTGCTGCTGCTTACCTGGGTCGATAACGTCATAGCCCCCTACGTGATAGTGTTCGGGCTTGGCAGTTGGCCATTGTCAAATGCTCCTCTGTGTTTGAAAGCCAACTCCATTAGAGCAACAAACATAGGGCTCTGATGGACAGGGATGTGGTGAGGGAGCACCAATGGGTTGGTTTACCTTGCTAGGGGGTGGGCTATCAGGAGATACTTTTACTTGACACTTTCAAATGACAGTGTCTCTTTAAAAATACATACATTTTGAGTTAAACACTTTCTAGGAGAAGTGTGAAAATGCTGGCAACAAGTATTCCTATGAGAAACAGGTATGCCCATTAGGAAAGTCAGAGTAAAATCAGTACATTTCCATTATCCGGGAGCCCCTTAGGGGAAATGAGAAATAAACTCATTTATTTAATAACTTATTTATTTCAATTCATATATTTCAGGATGAAAATTCTGTATTTCAGGAGGCCAATATGTTTGCATTATAGCTGAGTACACAAGAGAGCATGTCATAATTTTTGGGTTTCTGCCTCCATGCAAACTCTGCAAAATATGTCACCATATAATGTTTTGCAGTCCCTCATTCCTGTTTGTTCCTTCATTTCAAACTGCTCCATAGTCTCTCAAGTTTGAATATGCACTCCTGCCTCTGGGTTGATAAAGTGGTACATATGATTCCATGTTTGTGAGGTCCCAAATTGAAATTCCTTCCTTAGAAGAGCATAAGAGGTGTGGACCATATAATAGAAAAATCAGTGGACAACGTCAGTTCCATAAATTTTCTAGTGGTATCTTGACAACAATATTTGGCCATCAGATTGTAGGTATGTGAGAGTGGTGAAAGGGTGTCTTTAACACCAAGGGTGAGAAAATCATGGCTGAGGCTACCTCGGACATCAAAACCATGCCTACAATTAAACAAGCACTCAGACATCGAAACCATACCCACCATTGATCAGTCTAAGTTTCTTTCCCATCCCTACTGGTCACTGGCTCCTAGATGATGGAAATGTACCATAAAATGAAAGTCCTTACTTTAATACGTGCACTCGGTTAATGAAATATGTAAGAGAAGGTCAGCATGACAGCTAGCAAATGTAGAATGAAGCAGCAATGACAGCTGTCATGTTTCTCTCAGGAAAGGATTCCTTTAAAAGGAGGTGTGAATGGCCCTAAATGTGAACATACTGGACAGGGGAAAGCAGAAGTTGCTACCTTACAAAGTTTATTTGTAATAATAACTGGACAGTAAGTCCTAGATATCACTTTGGAGGGTCACAATCACAATGATCCCATGAAATGCCTCAAGCTTAAGCTTGAACAATGCTTTCATTATAATTTCTTACAGGCTAGGTGTCACGTACCTTAGGAGAGTCTGAGATGTTGAGGGCGGCCTCTCTCACTTCTCTGGTCCTGGGGCAGCTGGATGGGTACAGGAGCACCGGGGCACAGAGGGGCAGGAGTGCCAGTAGTAGCTGAAACTGATGAGCAGGAGTAACAGAGAGTGTTTAAGTCCAGCAGGCAAGGATTGCAGCGTAGTCAGGACAGGCCGAGGTCATCAACGTGCAGGCAACGCAGTACAGGGGGTAAGCAGGAGAATCGTCAAGAACAAGCCAAGGGTCAATCACTGGAGAGAAGCAGAAGAGTCAAGCCAAGCCGGGTTAGAAACAGAAGCAATTCAGGAGCAGGACACAGGGAAGCTCACAATCTGACAGCAAAGGAGGTCTCTGGCCACAGCCTTTTATAGGCCAGAGGGCGCCAAAAACTCAAACAACACGGCGCACGAACACGCGCACGTTTACGCAGAGATGCTGCACGCTATACAACTCTATTAGCTGCACTGTGAGCATGCGCAAACTGCCGTGAAAGAATTCTGGCTCCAACTCTGGCTCTGGCTTCCTGACAATAGGGCTAAACATTTCACCTTAGATCAGGGGTGGGCAACTCCGGCCCTCCAGCTGTGTTTTAACTACAAAACCCAACACGCCTTTGCCCCTGGGAGCCATGCCTGTAACTGTCAGTCTTGCAATGCCTCATGGGACTTTCCATGGAGGGCTGGAGTTGCCAGCCCGTCTGATAGATCGTCCTTCATTAAAAGAAGGGAATTAACTGCTGTTCTTGAGAAATAGTTTATTTTGAACAAATGTGTATGACCTCACTTGAGGCAGTTTACCATCCTCAAAGGAGAACTATGAGGTGAGTGCTTTTCACTCACCTCATAGTTCTAGCCGACCTGTGACAATGAGACTGTCACAGGTCGGCTTAGTAGATCGGGAGGTAAGCGAACACATACCGGCGTTCGCTCACCTCTCGATCCTGTCACGGCTCTCTGCCGTGACAGGGGAGGGGCTGGATTCCCCGCTCCGATCCGCCAGCGCTGACTGGCGGAACGGACGGGGGAGGGGGCGGGTACAGCTGGCTCTGCCTCTAGATAGGCAGAGCAAGCTGTCAGTCACGCATCTGGGCGGATCCAGACATAATTGTCGGGATCTGCTTCAGCTGCGGCGTCTTAGTATACCGTGAGCAGCAGCTCGCGGTATACTGCGGCGTCTCAGTATACCGCGAGCTACAGCTCACGATATACTGAGCCTAGGGTGACGGGAGGACGCTAGTTTGTGTCCTCCTGTTACCCTAAGGAGAACTAAAGGGAAAAGCCTTAACCCCATAGTTCTCCTTTTAATTGTTTCCTATATGAGCCCTCAAGTATTTGTCTAATACCACCTTTTTCTCTTTTGGACATCATTGTCTAAATCCCAATATGTATTCTCTTTTGTGCAGCCTGCTGGCCTCTGGCTCAGATGACCAGCATATGATGCTGTGGGATCCATTTCATCATAAGAAACTTCTGTCTATGCATACGGGGCACACTGCCAACATCTTCTCTGTCAAGGTGAGCACTATAACATCTATACAAAGCCACATACAATGTAGTGGTCTCCATAGTTTTAATTTGTTAGTAAGGCCTGACTTTATCTGAGGTCCTGGCTGAGTCCCACCAACTGTAATTTGACATGGCTCTTACTGGCCACCAAGGCAGCCTTATTGGATAGCAGAATGGCAGTTGGCAGGTCCTAGCAATGCAGTGTTTCCTCCATAGTAGTTACTTAAATAGCATCCCACGTTACATGTCCATATCAGACATTTAATTACACCCCCCAGTCTGGACATGTATATTTTATTAGCTTGAATAACTTGCTTATTCTGCCTCTTAATTGTTGTTGTCTCTTTATGTTCAGTTTCTCCCACACTCTGGGGATCGCATCTTGATTACTGGAGCAGCAGATGCCAAGGTTCATGTTCATGATGTGAACTCGAAAGAAACCCTCCATGTTTTTTCAGAACATACCAACCGAGTGAAGCGTATTGCCACTGCCCCTATGTGGCCTAATACCTTCTGGAGTGCAGCAGAGGATGGCCTGATTCGGTAAGGGGGAAAAATACATTTAAAGATGAACTCCAGGCAAATGGTTTATTACACAAGAAATACATAGAAGCTGCCAAAGAATTTGTGATTCTCATCCAGAGATTTGCACAGCTAGGCCAATGTCACCACTTTCACTGTCACATCTATAGACTGTATTAATGAGACTGTAGTGTCCTGTCACCATCCTTAGCCGGGTGACTGGACAGTGAAAGATGGGAAGGGGAGTCATCCCTCACTCCTACTATGAGCATGTTCTTGTCAGCATATTTGCATGCAACACATCTGACAGTTTCCCAGTCCTGCCCTTTGCTCTGCTGCTGCTGTATAGGGGATTGCAAGAGGCTGATACCAAGTAACATCCACTAATAAAATTCACCACATAAATTCACGACATACATTTTACACAGTATTAAAGTATCTCTTGTTTAATGCAAATTGGAAGGTAAAATGATGCATGCATGTATACTTGCAAATCTTCATTACCTTTTGCATTATTCATATTTCATATTATCCATATGTCATCTGGTATAGCCTTTTCCTCAGCACTCGTGGGAGTTGAGGAAGATGTTACTACTTTCTGAGGGAAGTAATGTAATCATTCCCTTACAGGAACTTTACTGCGTGTAATGTTTTCATTCTTAGCCAGGAACCACGTGTGTGAAATTGTGTTTCTATCCCCACTCTAGTTCTCCCTCCTCTTTTATTAGAAACGTACTTCTTTTAACCCCTTCATGACTGAGGCCCTTTTTTCATTTTTTGCACCCATGTTATATTCCACATTTTAGGCCTGAAAATGATGTAAAACCCCAACATTATATATATATTCTGAATGCCAAGACCCTATAGAATAAAATGGTGGTAGTTGAAAATTTTTATGTTGCGCAATATTAGCGCAACTCCTTATTAAACCCCAAAATTTAGTGACAAATTTAATTAAATGCCCCAAAACACAACAAATTACCCATTTTTTTAATGAAATATAAAAGATGAGGTTACAACGAGTAAAACGATACCCAACATGCCCAGTTTACAGATTGCGTGCGACCGTGAAACGGCGAAAAACTGCAGTACCCCAAAAAGTCAATAAAAGAAGCTGTCAATCAAATGAGAAGGCAGAACACAGGGTATAACTGGAGGAAGCCACATTGTTTTGTGCAGTAATATGCTCTTTCCTTATGCAAGTGTAGGAATGTAATGACATATTAAGAGGGAAGTGTGGAAAGTCTATGACCTCTGAGCTCTGCAGCTTGCGGAGCTCAAATCAAAATGTCATGAAGAATCCCAGGTGCTTTAACAGCAGCCTGGAAAACTCCTGATGTTTTGCTTTTATATTTTTGTTTGTTTGCTTAACCTTAAAGCAAGGAAACCAACCCTGTAGTATATTTATGTGCTTTTGCTAAATGAGAATGCTGCATATACAAACCACTTATAGTTACAAAGCAACAACTCAAGGCATACAGGATGTTACAAACATGCATACAAATGCATATGCTATCTAGCTGAATAAACATTGACTGAATGTCTGTATACACTAAAAGTCACTTAGCTTCCGGTATAGCTGGTCCACAATGTTCTTTTTGCATAGGACCTCAGTGTTTTAAAGTAAATGGGTTCTACCGCTGATAGTCATTCCTCTGGCTGTGAGAGTCTTGCTATGTTTAATGGCAATTTGTAGGTGCACAACAGCTGGAGGGCCGGAGTTTGCCTACCCCAAGCATAGGCCAAAAATAAATTTGCAGGCCTTTCCAAATGTGTGTAGCTCTTTCTCACTTACATCAGTTTCGGTGAGTGTAGCATTTTTAGTTGCAAACTTTAGATGGCAGCGCAGTCCCATGAATGCCATAGGACAGCTATGTCAAAAGCCTAATTCATACTACCTGATTTGGGATTTCTGTGGATTTTGCATCATTGTCGCAATCCTCTCATTATTGTTGCATATGATGTATACATCTGAAAACAATCTCTTATATGTACTTATTGATCTCTGGCATTTGAATTGTAGCACGGCACTTTTCATTTGTAAAGCTTTGGGGTTAATGATTTATCAAGGACCACCAGTGCTTGCTTGCTAAAAAATACACCTATTGAAACAAGGTTTCTCTCCCGTTCATTGAAGGACACAGGGCAACAGATCGTAGATCCTGTATGGTAGGGTATATCGCCACCTGCAGGAGTAGGATGCTAGGCACATAACAAAAAGACAAAAAAACAGCCTAGGGGCTGCCCCTGCTGGTGGCCCAACCCCCCACCTGCTGACAAGTCTCCAGTTTTTTGCCTAGCGTCAGGAGTAAGGAGCTAAAATGTTTCTCTGGAAAATTTCTTTACTTTTTTCCGTTTTTATTTTTTTTGCGATTCTTCTAGCAAGTGTCACCAGGGCGACATGCTGGATAGAGATGGATCCTTGTAGTCTCCCCTGGGTGGCCGTTGAGCGCATGCAGACTCTGCCACGGTGGGTCGGCTGCGACTAGTAGTCCCTATGGGTGCCTGCGGGTTCGTCCCGGGGGTGCATATGACAGGGGGTCCTGGCCCGCCTGTCACAGCACTTCCTGCAGGCTGGCAGCGCCGCGGTCGGGGGCGCTCGCCTTTCGCTGCTTCCCTGCACGCCTGGGCCTGGTAAGTATCTCGAGGCCCAGGTCTCGTTTGCGGCCTCCAGGCGGTTCCGCGGCCGCCATCTTGGATCAGGGCAATATGCCCTTCCTCCTGTGTCCCTACGTCCCAGGGCTCCTGCCCTGGCCAGCGGTGTGCCTGGTTGTGGACACTATGGGGGCTTAGGTTGGCTATGGGTGTCTACTTAGCCCAGGGGTGCCGCGGTCCGTGCGGCGGCCGCGGCCGCTACTCGAGGCCCCGGTCTCGTTTGCGGCCTCCAGGCGGATCCGCGGCCGCCATCTTGGATCAGGGCAAAATGCCCTTTCTCCGCTGTCGCCTCCTCCCAGGGCTCCTTTCAACCCCTGATGGATGGGGGGGGAGCTTCCTTTTGGCCTGGGGCGCCGCTGAAGCTGGAAACGGGGGGCAGCTCTCCTCTGCCGTGGGTCGGACACTGCCAGTGCCGGATGAAAATAGGTCCGGGGATCGTGGGTGCTGCGGTGGTCTCCCTGTTGCCTGTGGCGGTCGTCTGGTGAGCGGTTGTTGGTGCCAGTGGGATCATGGCTCGCAAGGACGAGCCTTCTGGTTGCATTGTGAGGGCTGTGGGCTGTGCTCTACGGACCCCTCTGGATCCCCTGTCTGCACCTCCCGTGCGCCTGCGTTCCTTTGCCAGTCGCCCCAGGGCCCCCTCGGGTTCGTCTAGGGGGTCGGTCGGTGCTGCCGTTACTGCGCTGTCCTTGGGGGTTTTTTTCCTCTGCTCTGGCGGAGTACGCAAAGCGGTCTCTGGGAGCATTTACCTTCGCACGTGACGGGCCTATTTGTCTGGTACAAGGCGGTGGCCTGGTCTCTGAGATTGTTTTCCATCAGCAACATTCTTGCCTTTTTTGCAATGCGGTGTGGCTCAAGGGTTGGCATTGAGCACGTTGAAGGGGCTGATTCTGCCTTGACTGTGTTTTTCCAACGGCCCTTGGCGTCTAATGCTCTGGTTCGCACCTTTTTGTTCAGGGGGTTGCGCGTATTGCTCCTCCTGTCCGCTTGCCTTTGGCACCGTGGGATCTGAACTTGGTGCTTTCGGTGCTGCAGGAATCCCCCTTTGAGCCTATTCGGGAGAATACAGTTGTGTGAAAAAGTGTTGGTCCCCTTTCTGATTTTTCATTGTTTTGCAAGTTTGTCACACTTTAATGTTTCAGACCATCAAACAAATTTAAATATTAGTCAAAGATAACACAAGCAAACACAACATGCAGTTTTTAAAGGAAGGTTTTTATTATTAAGGGAAAACAAAATTCACACACACACACGCCTCAAGACATAGTTTTGCCAGTGTTTATGTATGCACTATTTATAACTTGCATTTTCAGAGTGTTTGCATAAAAAAAAAAGCCTTTAGTTCTGCTTTTAATAGTTTGTAAATAAATACCTAGCTGTATTGTTTTGTGTATTTTATATCTACCTGGAGTTCAGCTTTAAAATAAATGATATTACATTAAGATTATCCTCGTGCTGAACTGTACTCTATGTTTGTTAGAAATAATAGTAAATTATACACTTACAAGAAATGTGTTTTGTAAGTGTCAGAAAGCTGTCTTAAAATGTTGTTTTCTATTTTCCCTTAGTGTTTGCCTTATTACATAGAAATGTATGAGTTAATGTTGTTCTTATTACACCTATTATGGTAGCAACGCTATGTTATTGAATTGTGATTACATTTTGTTTTGTGTCAAAGGAAAATGTTTCCATTCCCTAGTACCTTTTATGAAAGATATTTTAACGTTATGTCATTTTAATTTAAGTACAACAAACTCTTAAATAGGTGAAAAAAGAATACTAGTAAAAAGGAAAGGACAAGCGAGAGTAGGCAAAAGATCAAGGCAAATCAGCAGAAATCTAAAGCAAGGTTGTTAAAGTGGAAATTAAGTAAGTGGGGGTTTTTTTTCAATGCTAATGAAAGAGTTTATGGAAGAAGAGACTCTATATGTCCCTTCTGTCATAAATGCTTCTCTCTGTCTGTCAACTGAGTGTACAGCCTAGGTGCGACTTTGTGCAGGGACGAGGTAACTCCCGTGCACATGTGCAGGAGTTATGTCATCCCAGCATAGCCATTTAAGATGGCTGAAGACTCCAAACCTTGAAGAAGACCGGGTGAAGGTGGAAGTGTCGGCGATGGAACAACAAGGGAAATCATGCCCGTTACATCACTGAAGAAGGGCACGTTACAAGGTAAGTCTGCCATAATGTGCAAATAAACTGAGCATACTCGCATTTAAAGCTCCTAGGGGGGGTCCACATTTTCTTAGCTAGTTGTTCTGCTGGCAGGGGGAGGCACATCATTATGATCATTATGCTTCTCTAACACAGAGCAAGTCTTGGCTGTCATTTATACATCAGGGATTTGCAGGGCATAGGAGTGTATCTCTTATGTGCAAGGTCTGGAACTGGTTCGGCTATAAATCTACTTTAATATTCTGTATACCAAGGCCCTAAGATTACTTTGCTGTTTTCATCTGTCTGTTTATTTGCCTTTAAACAGACAGATGAAGACATGAAGCAGCTCTACCCTCTTGTCTCCAATCCCACTGCTGGAACCTCGATTACCTGGTAAAGCTTCCTCCAGAGCCTTCAATAAGCAATAAGTAAATCAGCACTTGTAAGGGGATCTGTCCATCCAATACTTTATTTGCAGAAAGGCATTAAATCAGCAAACAAACAAATACTTACATGTCTTATCACCCAAACTGGGCCTTAGTCGTAGCCAAATCGGCTATGACTAAGGCCCAGTTTGGGGGCTGAAACATGTAAGCATTTGTTTGTTAGCTGCTTTTATGCCTTTTTTACAAATAAAGTATTGGATGGACGGATCCCTTTTATGAGTGCCGTTTTTTACCTATTGCTATATTGTGGCTTCCCAAAGATTTGTGCCACCAAAGCCAATTAAAGGGAACCTAGGTTGGATGAGCAGTGTAGTCAGGAGATTTTAGTAAGGGCCAGATATGTACAACCTGTCCAATTCTGAACAACCTTGGATGTAAAATGGGTGTACTAGCGGAGGGAGCAGTTGAATAGTCTTCAAAGGACCTGATAAAAATGCATACATGATGATTTGGTGTGTTTTGACACATATTTAATTATCTTCTAATTCAGTTCTAATTTTTCCAAATTCAGGCAATATGACTTACGAGAGAGCAGTACTAATTCAGACGTCTTGATTGATTTGACGGAGTATTGTGGGCAATTAGTAGAAGCAAAATGTGTAAGCATCAGTCCTCAGGATAATAACTGCTTGGCCGTAGGAGCCAGTGGGCCCTTTGTGCGGCTCTATGATATCCGGATGATTCACAGCCACAGGTGAGTAATTGGTGGTCTGAAATAACAAGGAGAACATTGCTATGTTCATTTTATGTTCATATTTTTCTTTATTGTCTGCATTGTAGGAAGAACCTGCAGCAGTCACAATCTGGACTACATACATTTTGCTCAAGACAAAAGCCTATCCCAGATGGAGCAGCACAGTATTATGTAGCAGGTAGGACCATAGTCTCACCTTAAGGTCTATCTAAATCCAAGGATTTTTTTTTTCACCTTGTAATCCTGTCAGTAACACACCTTCTACCCTAGGGTGTCAACACTTACTCACTGTACTGTATCTATGGATGAGCAGTGTTGTCACCCTAGTCTGCTTGTGCCTGATTTTAACTGCATAGCTCACCTGGGGGAGGTGTTCTGTAGACCACAGTGGAGAAGTAGGCAGGGCTGATAACACTTCTTGGGATTTCTCATGTTACCATGGCAGTATAACAACTTTCCTTTGGTTGACAGAGACCAAATCAGAGGTCAGGAGCACTCAAGTCGGCGAGGCATGCCTTTTGATTGACTTCATTCAACCCAGCACTCCCAGCATGTCTGTTGCCAGTGTGTTACTTAGACTATCTCATAATCTTCTGATTATCCAAAAGGGAACAAATCATAAAGCAGCAATTGAAAGCCAATCAGGACACACCTCCCTATTGCCGGGACCCAGACAGGTGCTCGTAACCATCGCTTAGTGTACTGTGAGATGACTATGAATACCTGTCTGAATTCTGGCAGTAGGGAGGCCTCTCTTTATCTTTTGCGGTGTTCAGTTGGACAACCACCCTTTGTTTTTTTGTATTTGCATCAATATACCCCATTTCCTAATGTACCCTATTCAATAGACACTAGGGGGTTGATTTATTAAAGGCAAATAGGCTGTTTACTTTGCAAGGGAATTTGCACTTTGCTTATCCCAACCACCCCTAGTTTCTTTAATGAAATCTCTTTGCTTTAGGCCACCTTCCAGTCAAACTACCAGATTACAACAACCGGTTACGTGTTTTAGTGGCTACATACGTAACTTTTAGTCCAGATGGAACCGAGCTTCTAGTCAACATGGGAGGGGAGCAGGTAAGGGTGTTAATAGTTCATTTTTAAAATAGTGTGCAAATAGTTCATTTAAAAAAAAAAAATTATTCTAACTTCTCTTGATGTGTGAAATGTTATTGTTTTCTAGGTCTATCTGTTTGATTTAACATTCAAGCAAAAACCTTGCACTTTTTTACTGCCTAAATCCCACCATAATTCTGGAGGTGAGTATTTCTAAGTATGAGTATACTTTTTACCCATATATATATTGAAAGCATCCACCACCCATGTGGCTGCTATGGGGCACAGTCGAGACCAGGAGGGATGTTTGTAATGACACTATATATGCAGAAGCTCCACTGCCAGGGCTAGCCTAGTCCGTTCATGGTTTTCCCTTACAGAGACCAGTTCACTATTTCTCCTAAACGGAGATCCAATGCCCACCATGCTGCCTAGAACCCGACCGCGTGTACAAAACAGTACACAACTCACAAGCTATGTAGGGGCCAGGCGTATCTTCCTCTCAGGCAGTAGCAGAGACCGCTGCTGTACTGTGTTAAGTGACCTCTGATAGCTCAGGAAGGACAATAGCAGAGCCAGCTGCTGGAAGAATATATGTCAGATCTTAGGTAGGTGACTTGTGAGAATTTGCATGGTGTTTGACTCTCTGTGTGTCTAATTTGTGTGTGTGTATATGTGTTAGTGTGAATATGTGTGTTTAATGTGTGCGTGTGTTTTTATATTTTGCGTGTTAGAATGTGATGAACCAGACGAAATTCGATGCGTTAGTGCCGCTGTCGGCACCTTTCAGGCCGGCATCCCTTAATCAGCTGATCAAAGGAGCATGTCAGCCGCTGTCAGAATACAAAGGAAACAGCAGGAGATTCCTCAATCAATGCTTGTAAGCGTTGATAGAGGAATCTGTTCTATTTTCTTCCTACAGCCGGCAGGTTGAACAAAGAAAATAGAAGTGTGTATACCCGACTATATACATGCATATTACAGTTTAAGTCCAGCTTTTGAGTAGAGCGAGAAGGTTGTTACTGTTTCCCAGAGCTCTGTTACAGAGATTTGACTGATGGGAGAAGGAGACACTATCTTGCATTAAGTCTGCATGTTCTGCCTCCATGTCTCATGGCTTCCTCTTATAATTTTTTTATTTTATTTGGTAAAGTAGGGGGAGGTTAGTTTTTTTTTTTTTTTATTGCTGTCTGTGTTCCTGTTGCAGATTTTCCATTACTTTCTGTCTGGTGAAACCGTTGTTACTGGGATAGTAAGTGAGGGTAAAGCTAGCAGAGCCCCAACATACAAATGTCACGCAGATAGTGTCTTTCATCACCCCATGATAGTAAGAGCACCCCAATGAGCTTCTTGGTTCTCCATGGAATGGAATCTCTGTAGGAAGCACCTTGTCACCACTGCCCTTATGCAGGCTCCATGGGAGTATATGGAGATTGTCATGAGATGAATCGGGAAATTCCATACACAGCAGAGCATTCCCTGTGACAGTCAAACCATGCTTGGGGCAGATCTACCCATCAAGGCCATGTACAGTAATAAAGACCCAACAGAGATCAAGCCCTACACCACTGCACCCAAAACCAAAAATAGGTATAGTTTTTACTTAAATGCAATTGAAGATTGTGTACGATAGAATGTTTAGTAGATCTATTTGTACTCTTGAGTTTATCACTACATTTTGTGCTTTCAGAAGTTCAGAATGGGAAAACCACAAGCAATGGACTTAGCTTCTACAGTAATGGTTTGCGCGTCAGCGATGCCAAGACCGTGGTGGGGTAGGAGCATCTCTTATGAAACATTTTTCTTTATTCTTTTTGTTTGTTGTCGGCTTTTTATACTTCACATGAAAATCAAGTCACCACAACAAATACATTGCATAGTAGTAGTAAAACCTCCAGCACATGCACTAAAAACATTTGTGGAAATGTATAGTAAAAGTACCAAAAAAAAATCTTCAAAAACTATTTTGAAGATGCATGTAAAAGGGGTCACTGCAGAAGCTGGACTTGATAACATGACGTAGTATGAACAGATTTTCTCTACATTGTTCAGTAGGCATGACACAATGAGGTACTGGCTTATCAATCAGCACTGTATATTACTTTGTGGTATCTATCTAGTAACAGTTCTTCTACTTATTCTGCATTTTTAGGACAACAAATGAGCTGCCACCACATCTAGAAAAAGTGAAGCAAAAAGCCAATGATGCGTTTGCACGGCAACAGTGGAGCCAAGCAATTGAGTTGTATAGTCAAGCCATGCAGAGGGCTCCTGATAGTGCTATGTTATTTGGAAATCGGGCAGCGGCATATATGAAGCGCAAGTGGTAAGTAGAAGAGGCTATTGTGGTCTCTGAATAGTGTTTTGGACAGAAGGCTTTTTCTCATACTTCCTGTGCTCTGCTGCTAGGGATGGAGATCACTATGATGCTCTGAGAGACTGCCTTCAAGCAATGGCACTAAACCCAGCTCATCTTAAGGCTCACTTTCGACTAGCCCGCTGCTTATTTGAGCTTCGCTATGTCTCTGAAGCAATGGATTGTTTGGAGGAGTTCAAGGTCAAGTTCCCAGAACAGGCCCAAAGTAGTGCATGTGATGCACTTGACAGGGACATCAGGGTTGCCTTATTCTCCAAAAATGACAACCGTAAGCATTCTTTGTATCAGCATGTTTTTTTTTGTTTATCCTATATCTGTAATATTATATAGCATTGTTGCATTCATTTTGTTACATTCTACTTTTTAACTGTATACCCTGTACCGAACCCCATACCCTGTACCGAACCCCAAGCTGAACCTTGCACCCAATATGAAGCTGCCCAGTCATCACTGACTTCCGGAAGCAAGTGACTTCTTTCCTTGCTTTTCTACTAAGTCTCCCTGTTTCGTGCACACCCAGTATTTGATTATTTGGTTTATTGGTCGAAGAACACTGGCCACATTACAGCAGAATATTCTTATGGGAAGCAATGTTTTGGCTTGCAAGCCATTGCTATTGGATGGATTAACCCATCTACCCCTAGCGTATCCCAGTGGAATTGTCCTCTTAAATGGCTGGTGTGAATCTACACATAGTTTGAAATGGGTAATGGATAAAACCATTCAGACCCTCTTAATTTAATCTTGGAAATGCACTGTAAGTTTATCATAAAGGATCTGTCTGACCAATTGTTGGTTATGTTATAATGACTCAATCAAGACTGTCAGTTTGCTCAATTATTTTATTCTCTGTTATTATTCCCTATTGACATTATTTGTCTTTTGTACATATACATACTGGCTCTATACAATAATGAATTTTGTACACAGAGTTTTAAAAAAGAAATAAACCTTAAAATATATATATATATAATAATTTGTAAATGTATGCTATGTACATAGGGTCATCTTATTGCATATACCGTCTCTGATTTCTGCTTTGCAGAGTTAAACAGGGGCCATCTCAAAATCTTAAAATGACCAACTCAAAATAATGGTCTTAGATGACCAACTCAAAATAATGTTCTTAGATGACCAACTCAAAATAATGTTCTTGCATTGTGACGGATACATTGAACTTACATTGCATTTCTGGTGGCTTAACTACAAATGTTTAAATATAATACAATGATATACACATAGAAGCGCAAGTGTGTAAAATGAAATGCCATATAAAGGATAATTTTGGGGTGAACATTGATTAAATAACTTAAAATGTTTTTCCAGGTTGTAGCACTACATACTGTAGAAAAATCCACTAATGACATTATCCAAATCCATATTTATTTTACCTTTTGTTTATATTCTTTTTCAGTCCTCTTACATGTTTTAGCTTTGACCCTTTCTCTATCTCATGCAAACATTTGTCCTTCTATTTCTTCCACAGAGGACGATAAAAAAGGAGGCTCTGTCCGCCTCCGCTCAGGGGGCAGGAAGGATTCACTCTCTGAGGATGAACTGCTGCTTAGAGAACGAAGCCTAGATTATAAGCATAGATATTGTGGCCATTGTAATACTACTACAGACATAAAGGAAGCCAGCTTCATGGGAAGGTAACCAAATTACTCATTTTGTAATGTAGTGGCTGCAAAAACAAATGCTTACTGCTTTGTGGAATAGTACACTAACTGCTATTATGGTCTGTCATAGTATCTTTTGCTGCATGAATTACTTATCATATTTGGACCAATTTTTTGTCAGTTGTTTACGCTGAAGATTAGGAAATGTGAACTTTCATTTTATGTAAATAGCAGAGTAGGATTTTATGTCCCAGCCTTTTCCCCTTTCCCCAGATTGTATTTTGTGTTTTAGACCTTTTAACTTTTTAAATTAACCTTCACATCTTGTTTTGGTCAGTTTTTGTTTGGTTTCAGATTTGAATACATATAGATTTTTCCTAGGTTTTAAAAAGGGAGACAAACGTTCTGGTAGGCAGGATAGGCAACTTTGGCATGATACATGCATTACCAGACATTTACCACAAAATGTAATCGACAGTGTTCAGACTTAAAGGATATCACATAAATGCAATTTACATAATGTAGAGGAACGGTACAACTCTAAAGGTGGCCATACACTTTACAACCATCGCAAGACCTTAGTCTTACGATGGTTGTAAAGTAATTAAAAAAAATTACGATCTGCCCATCTTGGACAGGCAGATCGTACTTGCGATCATCGCAAGCCCGCCCCCCTGAGGGGCGGGCTTGCGATGACCGCAATGCTGAACGGCAGTGTGCGCTTGCGCACACCGGCCCATTGGGCATTTGTCTCACGAGCATCATTCAAACCAGCCGAAAATCGTAAGATTTTTGGCTGGTTTTCTAGCATGCTCCTTAGACAAAAGACGTGCGATCGTACAGTAGAAACGGTTGCACGCCTTCATTCACACTGCACGATTCTCGTACAATCGTGGGATTTCCCGCGATTCTCATACGAGAATCGTGCAGTGTATGGGCACCTAAAATCAAACCTTTTAAGTTAGAAGAGCCCTTTTTTTCCTTTCAGCGCTGCATTTTAATAAACGGGGGGAAAAAATGTTGCATAAATAATTTTCCTCAGGCCAACATGGCAGCATACATGTGGTAGTATGCTGCCATGGATTGGTGCCAGGGAAAGGAAAATTATGGGTAAGCATAAAAAATGTTTTGCTTTTGTGGCGCCGACATGACAGCATGCTACCACATGTATGCTGCCATGGATTGATGCCCGGAAAGGAAAATTACGGGTAAGTATGATACAATTTTTCGTTATTGTAACCTTAAAATAAGTTTGGTTTGAGTGAACAGGAATTGGCACAATGGCTTTGTTTCTTGAAATAGTCTTAATAACATTGCACATTTTTGTGGGAGAAAAAAGTCACCCAGAACATCCAACATATTTGTCTGGTCATTGCTTTTTTTCTATAAATTGATCTATTTAATTCTTTGTCGTTATTTGTAGTTTGTTTATTTTTTTTATGGATCAGGTTAGGGGATCTGATCTTTCTCCCCCGTGCACTTCTGCTACAACAGATCACTTATAAAGGTGCCCATACACCTCACGATTATCGGACGGTTTTCGCATGCGATCGACTTTACCGCCGATAATCGTATGTGTGCATTGCAGTGTCCGACCAACATTACTGTACAATCGTACGACTTTTGACGGTCAAGCATGTTTGAAAACTTTGCTAGATCGTACGATTGTCGTAAGGTTGCTGGCGTTTCCGTCCGTCAAAAGTCGTACGATCTACACTGCGCTTGCGCTAATGAAAATACGGCAAATCAATTACAGCATTTCGTCCAGGTGCTTTTCGTTAATTACGGCTAAATTAATCTTCATCGGGGCAGGATGGGGCTGCCCTACGAAAATTGTACGACTATTCGATCAAAAGTTTTGTCCGATAATCGTAAGGTGTATGGGCACCTTTATACTTAATTACTGCTTGATGTTAGCTGCAAGAAGAAGATTACTAAATCATTGACCTATTGTTGCAGGAGCAGGCAAGCTCTGCCCTGTTTAACCACTTCAGTACCGGCATGTTACACCCCCTTCATTACCAGGCCATTTTTTCAGTTTTTAGCACTGTGCAAGTTTGGGTGAGGATTCCTCCATCATGCAACACTGTAACCAAATTCTTTTTATTTCATTTTTTTGAGACGTATAGAGCTTTTTTTTAGTGGTATTTTTTTAACCACTTTTTAAAAACTGTTTACTATATAAAGTAAAAAAGACCCAAAAATTTGAAAAAAGGCCTGCTTTTTTAACTTTCATCTATTATTCATAGCAAATAAAAATGTCAGGACAGTACCAAAACCCCCAAAATTACCCATTTTTGGAATGTAGACACTCAACACACAGACACACAAGGTGACCTGATTTTTTGCCGCAGTTTTGGGGAAATGAAGAAACACGACGGTATTGAGGGGGTTAAAACGTGGAGCTTGGTAATGTTGGATAAGAAACAAATGTACAGGTCATACACAGAGGGAGGTGGAAGTGATGGGGCTAATGTACAGGTCAAATACAGTGGGAGGATGGAGGTGAAAGGGTTAATGAATAGATATGCTGGATAAGGGAGGTGAAAGGGTAATGTACAGATCAGAGCAGAGATAGAATGCGGATATTATAGGCAGGGAGGAGGGGGCTGAACAGTTTAAATGTATTTATTATAATTTTTTTTTTATTTGCTGCTGCTGGAGCGTGTATTCATCAGGAACTAATGAACAGATGTCTCATCCATTCATTAGTTCCTGTACTCTACCCCTACCTCTGATATAAGAGGAAGGGGAGGGCTTGGCAATGTAAACATTGCCATGTGATAACCAATTACAGCGATCACCGTACACAGAGCTGGTCCAATCGGCTCTATGTGCATAGCTCCAGCTCTACACTGTCTAATGACAGCGGGCGCTGCAGGTGCAGCGGCCGTGCGCACACAGGGGTTCACGGGAGGACATACAGGTTCCTCCTCCAGGAATAATGGGCCTGTGGACCAGCTGCATTATAAAGTGGACAGTCCACTAGTGGTTAAAGATGGCTGCTGCAGCTTACAGGATATGCTGATGATGGTGGAGATGACATCACTGCAGTTACACTGTGCTATACACTACACTTAGTTTGTTGTAGCAGAATTACAAGTTGAGGAGGTAATTAGTGCAGCAGGGTCCATGATGTCTCAGGTTGGGTACTGACTTATAAAAGTAACTATAACATTGTTTTTAAATGGCACCTGAATTAAAGTGGTTAACACATTTGTGAATCTTTACTACTGCTCCTGCATTCAGATGTTTCGTTGGTTTACGTTTTTTCTATCTTTGGATTTTTGATTTCTTCCCTCCTTTTCTTTTCAGCAATGCTCAGTACATAGTGAGTGGATCAGATGATGGGTCATTCTTCATCTGGGAAAAGGAGACTTGTGCCCTTGTTAGGGTTTTGCAAGGAGATGAGTCCATAGTTAATTGTCTACAGCCACACCCAAGTTACTGTTTCCTAGCAACGAGCGGCATTGACCCTGTTGTGCGACTATGGAGCCCACGTCCTGAGGTAGTTAACCACATAGGTTATAAACCGATTTATTTTGGAACATGCAACAAACGGTAGTAGATTCCACATTTATATAATTCAGAAAACTAATTTATTATTATTTTATAATATTTTTTTCTCAATTAAGGCAGCACTTTTTTATTTTGCCCAGTATTTAATTAGGTTATCATTTGCTTACCAACACTGAGCTAATCCTGCCACCCATTCAAGGCGTTCGAATAAAATCGTTATGCAATACTAATCTAATTCTATATGCCACACCCAGAACTAGTGAAAAAGTTACTGCAAGCATGGGTCAAGCATCCTATGCTGTAAGTTGGGTCAAAAAAATGCACTTCTTTTCTCATGTGGAACAATGGGATACATATCCTAGTGTTAGATATCCAAAATATACTTAGTCATTATGCATATTGTCATTAGTCATAATGCAACCTGGACATTCACTATGGAAAGCACATTTCCAGCACAAATATATAACAGGGAGTGGATACTGATATCTGCTCTGCGCAGGATACTGTAGTGACTACTCCAAACTTGACCTGTATTTTACATAGTATTCATAAAATGCCAGAGCCTGATCACATGACCTGTTAGTCATGTGACAATCTCCTACTCCTGGCAGCTGTATCCTATTTATTAAAGGATAAGTGCACTTTAAAAAGTCCACCTATCCTTTTTGTCCACCCTCCCCCTTCCCAGATACATATTTACCTCAGAATCACTCCAGCGCCCTACGCTGTTTGTTTGCCTCTCAGACGGCCAGCCTTTAACCCTTTCGCTGCCAAGCCCTCCGGAACATTTTTCAAATCAGCTGGCCAAGCCATTTTTGAATTTTCTGCAATTTTTTCCTATTGGTTTGATTTTCAACTGCTGCGTTGCTAGCGTTTGTAAAAGACCCCCCAAACCATATATTTTCTGAAAGCGCAGGCCCGGTAGAATAAAAAGATGGTGATACTAAAAGCCATGCATGCACAGTAGCATTCGAAAGGGTTCCATGGGACCGTTTCTTGAAGCAGGAGGTGTTAGTGACCCATACTGTCCACATTACAGACTTTCCTGTTTGTTTGTTTGTTTGCAGAGTGAAGGCACAGACAAGCGAGTGGTGCAGGATATGGAGAGTGCCTGTCAAGCTAACCAGCGGAGAATGAATGCTGACCCGCTGGAAGTAATGCTTCTGAACATGGGGTACAGAATTACTGGACTGAGTGGAGGGGGCCCAGCGTCTGGTGGTGGGGGATCAGACGATGAGGATTCTGCTGAAGGACAAGTGCAATGTCGGCCCAGCTAACCCTGACAGAAGAAAGTGTGTAGGATATAGGGTGGATACCCTTTATTTAGAAAGGCTTGACCATATTTTAATGGCCACTCATCTTGCTTTCAAAGCAGTCTGTGCAGAGCAATGTACCTCATAATGTCTAGGATAAGGAACATGGAGGCATAGAACCCACTGCTTCCATGTCACCACTGGATCAAATGTTTTGACCAATGACCAGGCATCTCCTCATGCTCAAAATCCAGAATAAACCGGATGCCGAATAATGCACACCTTATTTTTTGGAGTTTCGAATTTCATGGGTGTGACCATAAAAGAATGGATACTACTCAGATGCAATAGTACCAATGTGTGAAACTTTAAGAATTTCTGGATGCCGACTAGTTTCTTGATTGGTGAACTGACTTTGCGACATGAAAAGTGACACTAGGATTGCTTTAGGCAATTGAATAACATGTGGAAATAGCTATGGCCCAGATTAAGGTACCTCGCACATAATTTGTAGAATATGTGAGAAGTGAGGTGATTTTCATGATGGCCTCTAAACAAATAAGGGCGGTTGTGTGAATATGTGCTTTTGTGATGCTATTTAAGTGTTTTCTTTTTCAAAATGTTAGAGTCTGGAAGGATTATCTGCAGATGGCATCTCCAAACTTAGCCAATACGAAGGCCTTTTTCATTGATCTAGAATATGTAAATCTAGTTGATTTAAGTTTGAAGAGGGCCTGCTGTGACTGATTATTGAGCCCTAACTTAATAAACAGGTTGGTGCAAACAGTACCACATTCTCACACTGTTCGTTTAACCACAGGGAAAAGCTGTCCTAGACCTGTGATTGACTCCTGTCAATTTGTATTTGATGTACATCTACAAATAAAAACTTCTTTATTTCTGAGCAGATGTTACAGGTGTTGTCAAATATGCTATTGTTCTTTTTAACCCCTTCATGACTGAGCTTTTTTTTGCAGTTTTTGTTCGTTAATGACTGATGCACTTTTTACATTTTTGCTATGTGATTCTTCCACGGCAGTAATATACTTTCTTACACAGGAGACCCACACATATTATATATTGTTTTTCAGAGGACAGATAGGGCTATATATTACAAAACGCCTCAATCTCTGCTTCTCTGGGGGTCCCTAGGTGGCATTAGGTGTCTTGGAGAACCCTGATGTCTTCACAAAGAGGACCTGTCATGTAAATTGCCTATCAGAAATGGCCAATTTTCAGTATGGTCGTTTTTTGCGATTTTGGGGGCGCACACAATTTTAAGGCTGGACATGTTTGATGTCTATTTACCCGATGTGACCCCGTCTTTTATATTTTACCAAAAATATGGGTAAGAATAAATGTTTTATAACATAACGTAGGGAATTTTTTTTTTTTTTTAAATACTGAGCTTAGGGTAACGGGAGGACGCTAGTTTGTGTCCTCCCGTTACCCTAAGGAGAACTATGGGGAAAAACACTGACCCCATAGTTCTCCTTTTAAATTTACGGTACTTTTTTCATTATATAGTAAAAAATAACACACCCCCCTCTCCGTGGTGATTTTATATACCACCACCAAAAGAAAGCTCTATCTGTCCCCCAAAAATGTTTAACATATATTGCAAGGCTATAGTCAGGTCATGCAGACTGGTGGCATTTTTGACTGACTGGCGAGACACCCTAAAAATGTTCAAGCCCTGTATGTGTGTGTGTGTGTGTGTGTGTGTGTGTAATTAGGCTGCCACAAACTCAGGGACAACCAGTAATAACCTTAATGACATTGATGCTCACATGCACTGAATAATGCCAGGGTCAGATGTCACTAAAGACTTCTGATAGTTGTGGTTGGTTGCCACAACGATCAGAAGCCTGAAATAGGCAGCTTTCGGCTTTTGCTAAATGCCTCTATGCTGAAGCGTTCAGCAAAATGCCGGTACACATCAAGATTTGCTAATTCCGATGTGTACGGCTGCCTAACAGTGATAGGAAGTGCGATTCATACCGCACAAAGGTGTCTGAAACAGCTTAATTTTTTCATTAATGGATGCCTTGTTAGTGATTCCTCCGTTAGGCATTCTGGAGCCCTGAATAGCTGTGCACATACACTGCACGTCTCCCGTCACTAAGGGCTTAAAGAATACATTTTTATTGGTTCATAGAAGGTTGGGGCATTCAAAAATCGACAAATAATATAATGTCACAGATGATTTCAATACGTGCTAGACAGAGTTGAACAGTACTTAATGAAAGGCACAGCATGAAATATCAGTAGGCAACACGGTACTGTGAAACAGTGAGGAGGCAAAATAGAATTAGAAATAGAGGACAGGCAGTGAGGCATCTGGATCAGTGAAAATTGAGGGATCTAAATCCCGGCATGTCTATAAAGAGAACATAAGGACTCCACAATACATTATATTGGTTATTATTGAGATAGACTGTCAGTGTTTCCATCTTCACTTACTTTAGTGACTCAATCCTTAATATAGGGGATAGTGGAGGACCTTGAATGCTGAGGAATTATGGTGCACAGAGCGACAAAGAAGAAACAGAGCAGGGAGTTCATGGTATAGTGTCCAGTGGTTACGTTTATAGGGATACCTAGGGGGTGTTGGGTGTACTTGTCTCTGTGACTTGACGGTGTAATATATATCTATATATACATACACACACACTATTGCGCCAAAAGTATTGGGACACCCCTCCAAATCATTGGATTCAGGTGTTCTAATCACCTCCATGGCCACAGGTGTATAAAAATAAGCACCTAGGCATGCAGACTGGAGCTCTCTCAGGAGCTCAGTGAATTCAAGCGTGGTACCGTGATAGGTTTCCACCTGTGCAATAAGTCCATCCGTGAAATGTCCTTGCTACTAAATATTCCACAGTCAACTGTTAGTGGTATTGTAACAAATTGGAAGCAACTGGGAACAACAGCAACTCAGCCACAAAGTGGAAGGCCACGTAAAATGACAGAACGGGGTCAGCGCATGCTGCAGCGCACAGTGCGCAGAAGTCGACAACTGTCTGCAGAGTCAATAGCTACAGACCTCCAAACTTCGTGTGGCCTTCAGATTGGCTCAACAACAGTATGTAGAGAGCTTCATGGAATGGGTTTCAGCTGCATCCAAGCCTTACATCACCAAGTGCAATGCAAAGCATCCGATGTAGTGGTGTAAAGCACGCCGCCACTGGACTCTAGAGAAGTGGAGACGTGTTCTCTGGAGTGACCAATCACGCTTCTTTGTCTGGCAATCTGATGGATATGTCTGGGTGTGGAAGTTGCCAGGAGAACGGTACTTGCCTGTTCCAAGTGTGAAGTTTGGTGGAGGGGGGGATTATGGTGTGGGGTTGTTTTTCAGGGGTTGGGCTTGGCCCCTTAGTTCCAGTGAAGGGAACTCTTAAGGCATCAGCATACCAAGACATTTTGGACAATTTCATGCTCCCAACTTTGTGGGAACAGTTTGGGGATGGCCCCTTTCTGTTCCAACATGAGTGCGCACCAGTGCACAAAGCAAGAACCATAAAGACATGGATGAGCAAGTTTGGGGTGGAAGAACTTGACTGACCTCAACCTGATATAACACCTTAGGGATGAATTAGAGCGGAGACTGCGAGCCAGTCCTTCTTGTCCAACATCAGTACCTGACCTCACAAAATGCGCTTCTGGAAGAATGGTCAAACATTCCCATAGATACACTCCTAAACCTTGTGGATGCCTTCTCAGAAGAGTTGAAACTGTTATAGCTGCAAAGGGTGGGCCAACTCAATATTGAACCCTACAGACTAAGACTGGGATGCCATTAAAGTTGTGCATATGAATGTATGAAAAAGGAAAAACTAAAATATCACATTGGCATAAGTATTCAGACCCTTTGCAACAACAAATGAAATTTAGCTGAGGTGCCTCCCATTTCTCTTGATCGCTGCTGAAATGTTTCTACACCTTGATTGGAGTCCACCTGTGGTAAATTAAATTATCATGATTTGGAAAGGCACACACTTCTCTATAGAAGGCCTCACAGCTGACAATGCATACTGTATCAGACCAAAAGACCAAAAGCCATGAGGTCAAAGGAACTGCCTGCAGATCTCAGAGATGGGATTATTGCAAGACACAAATCTGGGGAAGGCTACAAAAATTTCTGCTGCATTGAAGGTTCCCAAGAGCACAGTGGCCTCCATAATTCTCAAATGGAAGAAGTTTGGCACAACCAGGACTCTTCCAAGAGCTGATCGTCTGGCCAAACTGAGCAATCGGAGGAGAATGGCGGTGAGGTGTGTAGGTGGGACAGGGGTGTGGAAATTAAAAAAAAAAACGACTTGTCCAAGGGCTAAAGCAGGGGCCAAATCTACTTGTCCTACGTTACAATCTACTTGTCCCAATACAAAAAAATAGTTTAAATCAAAACTAGTGATGCACCAATTTCGGTTTTTCGGTATGGAGTACGAGTACCAATATTTTGTTTTCGGTACTCGCAGATATTGAATACCAGTGCTTCCGCTGGCATAGAGCAGGCTTCCCGGGTAATTAGGAAGCCGGGTAGCGGGTAATGACATGCCACCCGGCTCCATGTTGTTTGTTTTTGATTTTGATTGCCCGGGACACTGGCTTCCCGGCCAATCAGGAAGCCGGGCGGCGAGTAATGACCTGATTGACCGGGAAGCCAACTCGATGCTGATTGGCTGGGAAGCTGGCTTTCCAGCCAATCAGCAAGGAGCCAGCTTCCCGGCCAATCAGAAGGCGGGTCATTACTCGCCGCACTGCTCCTGATCGTACAGGAAGCTGGCTCCATGTTCGCCTACAGCACTGCCGGTCAGAGGAAATTTTCATCTGGTCGTAAGTCCCAGTATCGGGGCAGTTATCAGAGCATTTGGGTGAGTACAAGTACTCCCCAAATACTTGGTGTCGGCACTGATACTAGTATCGGTGCATTCCTAATCAAAACATTGTGCTAAATAGCGCTTCTCACTGATCAGCGCGGTCACCTCACCACGCTGACCAATGAGTGCTTGCAATTTGCGAGGGAAATTCAAAATGCATAGGGCAGGACTGCGCTGGATAGCAGTACGGGGCACAGATAGTACACCCATACTGGCGGAGAGGAGGGATTGTTCGCCAAAAGGTAAGTAAGTATGGGGGGGGGGGCGTGGGTCAGACGGGAGAGACGGGGTTTCATTGGGTAATTCTTTCCCATATTACCTGGGAAAGTAAACTTACTTTTAATGCACATTGTGTGTGCGTAAGAGAGTTCTACTGCCTGGCTACCACAATGGAATGGCAGCAGCACTCAACGCACACGCACAATGTTTTTGCATGCAGATAGCGGGGTTGGTTTTTAAAACATTTTTTTTCTACTTTATCACTTTTATTTTTTAAATTTTTATATATTTTATTATTTCTTTACTTTTTTTCACTCAATTTTATTCCTATCACAAAGTGGATTACAAGCTCCTGTGTGATCGTTTTGGAGATGACAGGTTCTCTTTATGGAACCTGCCCTCCAACACAGAACAGATGTTCTGTGCAGTTCCTGACAGCTGATACAGGTTGCGCTGTAATTACAGCGCTCCGGTCTCAGTGATCACACACGTATGTTCTTCGTCTGCTCTAATGTCTCTATGGCTGAGCCGTTGTGCCGTGGTCTCGGGTCCCCCAGAAGAGCGAGGAACCCCGAAAACCACGGCGGGGGGTGCGAGCAGACAATCTGATCAGATTACTTGTACTAAACAAGTGTCGACTCCCCACTGTACATTTAGCTCTGCTTGTCCGGAGCAAGGCTAAATGTACAAAAAAACGACTCGCCCAGCGCCCGAACCTGCATGTCCCGGGCGTCGGGCGATAGGAATTGCACACCCCTGTGGGGCAAAGTTCCAGAAGGATAACCATCACTGCAGCCCTCCACCAATCTGGCCTTTATG